TATGAACAAGTACATTATCTTGAACAGTTTGCTGAATAGCTAAGAAAGTGAAACAGGCTGACTGGCTGTAAAGGAAAACTAACCAAGGAAACACACAATGCCCTCCTGCATACAGTGACCACAACACTTTCTCTAATCAAAAATCTGTTTGCAACCACAAAAGCCAATTTTTTTACTTCTTGGAAAGCTGCAGACTGACAACTTAGAAGCTCAGTTTGGTGAATATCGCCAGCTATCAGGAGCAAACTATCTAGTATCTGTTCAGCAAGTTTTAGAAGCAGAAAAAAAGACTACTAAAAGTTTACTCATGTCTAAGTATGTCCTCATCAGCTTATGTATGTGGTTTCCAGAGCATCATTTTGGGTGAAAAGAAAAGAACAGACTGCCTCTATAACAAGTTGTGTAAGAGGCGACTAATTAGTTTTTTTTCTCTCTCTCAAAGTTGAACTGCATCTGCCTGAAAGGTGAGGAACCAACAGTCTGCATACAAATAATACAAATCTGTAAAACGAATGTGCATGCAAAATTAAGGTTCTGGAACAAGACCAAAGTCTTGAAGTAGATGAAGAACCATCACTTTCCATCAGAGTTTACACGAAGAAGAAAAACACTGAAGGGCATCAATGAAGCCTGGTAAGATCATACTAATAGCACTTCATAGTTAAAGTTTCAGCTGCAAGATGTAACATATAGCACTTGTCTGAAACAAACGTTTGTTCAAATCTTTTGTATGTACCTTGTATGTTTTACTCAATATATGGTAAAATGCTTTTTTCAAACTGATCTGGGATCACATATTGACTCAGTCTAAAATGAACACCACAAAAGTTTCCTGGGAGGTAAACACTGGTTGGCAAGATGCTATCCATATCACTTGCCGAGTGCTGACTGGCTGACAGATTTGAAATATGGCACTCATTTAAAAACTCAATAAACCTTAGGCCCAATTCTCCAACAACATATATGAATCAAATGTATCATATGCTGTTTCTCCATCTGCCCAGGCTGCAAGATTTTCCAGAATCTTCAAGGTTGCAAGATTGTTCAAAATCTTCAGTCACTGTCTTCCCCAACTTATTCCAGAAATCTTACTTGTTACTACAATATATTCTAGTCTATATCTTGTAATAATGCCATGTTTTAATAATGCAGTCAACCAATCTCCTAATAATGCAGTCAACAAATCTTCTTATAATGCAGTCAACACATGTTAAGTTAATGCAATCAACAAATGTTCTAATAATGCAGTCAACAAAATGTAGACTGCTTCCTTCTGAAAGTTCCCTCTTAAAAAAAACTTTCATTTACTCATTTTGTCTGTCCACTGCAATTTTAATATTCTGCAAAACTAGACCTTCAAGGTGATTACAAAATTGACATAATAACCAATGGTATAGTTATTGCCGGCGTGATACTGACCACATCACCCATCTTGTGTAAATTGGTCTATAAAAATATAGGTCTAGCCCTATATGCCTAAAGGTGTGGAAAAGGGTCCTTTAGTTTACTTATAGTTATTACCCAAAATGGTTTATTGATATATATATATATATATTTTCTAATCCCTGCTGACAGTACCAAATCATGTATCATAAACATTTTATTATATATATATATATATATATATATATATATATATATATATATATATATATATATATATATATATATATATATATATATATATATATATATATATAATAAAATGTTTATGATACATGATTTGGTACTGTCTATATTATATATATATAATAAAATGTTTATGATACATGATTTGGTACTGTCAGCAGGGATTAGAAAATAACAACTAGCAGAACCTCAAAACTTTTTTGCAAGAACATCAAAATTAAGATATGACTGTCAGAATAACAAAACAATTTTTCAAAGTATTCAATTAAGACTGTTTAATAACATTTTCAGATCCTGTTTTTACATTTACTTATATACTAATAGGGAACATTTACATGTGTTTCATTAGATGGCTTATTTATAAGATGAAGCTACAAATTTACAATCACCTAGTATACTAACAGGAAAAGTACACTACCTTGTGTTTAAAATAAAAGTTGGCATTTTTTTCAAGTAATAATGTTAGATGTGTGTAATCATGTACATTTATATCATTGTTACTCATGAAACAATATGTCAAGATTTAATATTATACTACCATGCTACAGAAGCTAGAAAAATGTGCAAGAAAGAAGCCCTATTATACAAAATAAAATCAACACAACATAAACTAAACAGTTCAAAGAGCTTGAGCTTCTTTGTTTTTTTTAAAATAGTTTTCAGTATCAGCTCAAATGCAGTTATCCCTATTTTCTGTGTCATTTATGCAAGCAGGAGACACGGTGCTAGGTAAATTTCCCCCCTCCCTCATGGATTCTGAAGCGCCACTTGTAGAGGTTGGGAAAAAAAGGACAGATCCACTGCCTCTTAACAAGGGTACCCTTCGTGGTAACTATTTAAAGTTTTGATCAAATCAAATTTGGTGGGTCTAAAGGTGCAACTGGGAGTCACTGTGGTGTTGGCAGCTAGACACCCGACTGCGATTGAAAGGTCGTGGGTTTGCACCTGATGAAGCCAGACTTTTTTTTTTCCAGAAATGTCCTCGACTCCCAGGTCAACACAGCCTTGAGTGGGTACCAGGTGCAGTCCTGGAAAGTAATAGTGATCGGCGTGAGGCTGACCACATCACCCACCAAAGCCGATTGGTCTATAAAAATATAGGTCTAGCCCTATACCCAACAGGCATAAAGGCGTGGAAAAGAGACTTACTTTACTTGAAGGTGCAACTATCACAGCCTAAATGAAAACCATAACACAAATATCATCCTCACTGTTAGGGTTGAGTACAGCAGCAGAAGAAAAGGAATAGGAAAAAGCAAAAAAAGGTTCAAATTGTCCATGCTGGATGATCCCATGAAGACTCAAGTCACAAGTGACAGGCTGACCTCCTTTATATTTCCTCAACAACAATTGTATCATGGTCTATCTATCTCAGGGCTGAAATGGTCGCCAAAAACATTGTGAATTGAGGAGATAGTTCTGGAACACATGGCAAGACCAGATAACTAGCAAAAATGTTATCACAGCTGCTATGTAACATAACAGAATATAAACTAATATTACACTTCTGTTTGACGACAGTCCACACGATTCTTCTTCTTCTTTGCGTTCACCAGCTGTAAACTCTGGCCGAAGTTCTGGTTGTTCAAGCACTTCTGGGCTGCAGTCATGTTTTACAGATCTGACTCATTTGTATGCAGACTGCTGGCTCCTTGCCTCTCTGGCAGATGCACTCCGACCTCGAAGGAAGCTCCCAATTAGTCGACTCTTACGACATGCTTTTGTGTAGGCAGTGGGTCTATTCTTGTTTTCCCCATTGAAGGGCCTTGGAACACACACGGGGAAGTCCACACGATTGACCTGTGATTCAATTGGTGCAATATTTCTCTAAGAATCCAAACTAAGTATATTTTCCGTCATATATACTTTATAATTTATTTCGACAAAATCATTGTGATTATATATACTTTATAATTTATTTCGACAAACACTGAAACAACATATATATTTTCTGCCATTTCTAATGCAAGACAGTTTTTTTTGGTTATTTCTTTTGTGCTTTCAAATACTGAGTCTTATAAGTTTTTTCAATCAGGAAGGTTGGTATGTTGTGCTGTGGTTTACAGCTAGGCTACAATATCTGCAAATTTTAACCCAACACATCAAATTTCAACTAACTCTTAATTAGTCCCATTTGCAACATGCTTGTTTGGAGGTACGGGATCAATCCCCTCACCTACAAAAATTTGGCACTGGAAACCACACTGGAAATTAAATGAATAACTCATAGAGGATTTCAGGGTGTTCACAATTCACTGTTAAAATTGAACAGCCAGCTATTTTTCAATGTTTAAGAAACTATGCCAATGTTATATCTGGTTATAAAGAGATTTAACCATGTTGTCCCAAGAAGCTCCGAACCATGTATTTTCCTCTAGAGCCTCATTGCCGCAAATGTTACTTACACAGCATTTTGCTGTGGTCTGTTCCCGACAAGCCTAGTTAACAGCTTTGGGTTCTGCACAGTTTACTTTAAAAAACAGCAGAGAGGGGAAAGGGGGAGGGGGGGGGTGAGGCAGGTCTAGTGAACAAAATGTTTTTTTAAAGCCATTCTGAGGTTGTAATTAGCCCGTACTAGCCTTAGTGTTAGAATATGAGAAGGTCATTAGGTTACGGTAAAAATCACTCAGTACATTTTCTAAGCCCTGGTGATTGTACCTTTAATTCTTCACTCCATCTGTGTTTGAGTGACTGACGTTCAACCCCATCAGGATCCCGCAACGAGCGATTAACATCCGGTAATACAAAGTGCCACCATTCAGATGAGAAATCCCCATGCACAAGCCCCAGAAAGATCGTTCAACCGTTAGGTGATATATTAGGGCCCCTCGATGACAGCCAGTGTGGAGAGTTTTAAATAACAAATTTCATTGATTATTAAACATATTTTCTTAAGAAAATGTTTTTTAATGCAGATTAACATTTAAAAAAATTTAATGGTGACCTGTGTGAGGGGAATTTTTTTAAAGAATTATCAAGGGTTCCTGCCTTTTTCTAAGTGTTTCCGGGACAAAATGGTTACAACATAATTTTCAACCAGGACAAGACAAAAAGAAAAGTTCTGTAACAATTCTTGGCTCTCTGTCGTCCAGAATGTCTAGAAACACCTGCTCCAAATAAAGGGTTTTCCATGTTTCCAAAGGATCGTCTAAAAGATGTATTAACACATGTAATCCTATCTGTATTGCACTTTAAAAAGTGCCCGTTTACACATACAGTTGAAGGCAAATAATATATTTCAGAACCCTTCAAGGTCCAACGTGTGTGTGTCTGTTTGCTCATACACACAATCTAACAATAAAAATTAAGTCAATAATAATTATACTCAACATGAAACAATTCTAATTTCAGTCGGTGAAATCAATAATACATCAGTATTTATTAATACCAAAGAGCCGAACTTTGTGCAGCTGCGGTAACTTTGGAATCAAGTTGAGTGTCAGCGCGCTGGCATTGATGACAAAATGGTACTGATCATAGCGTGAATAGAAACTTGCCAGAAAAAATCTGCAACAGACAAATAGAAAAACAAAAATATTACCTGGCCTGCATGAATACAATTTGTCCAGACAAATATATGATGTAATATAGATAGCTCTCATGACAACAGCTACAATAGGGGTATTAAAAATTAGGTCTTCACAAACATTAAACTACATTGATATTTACTCTGCAGAACCAACCCTAGCTTTTGTTTGGCTATCTGTGACCACTAGGCAATTTTACATTTAGTAGTTTGAAATAAGAACAGGCATGTCTTTTGTTGCCTCTACAAACTGTACTGGCAACAGCATGGATTATGAAGATAGCAACGGCTAACATCAGGTATGAAATTCAGTGGACTCCTACAAAACAGTTTGAAGACCTAGACTTTGCCGATGATATTTCTCTTCTATCCCACTCACAGAATCAGATGCAAGATAAATTAAATAAACCTTATGTGAGATCACAACTATGTCTAGAAATCCATAAGGGAAAGACATAGATAATGAGAAAAAACCAGGCAACAGCAATCTGGTTTCTCCTAATGAATGGTATCCCACTCCAAAATGTGGAGTCGCACATCTATTTGGGCAGTAATGTAGATAAAGATGGGGGAACTGATAGAGATATTAAAATATGAATATAAAATGCAAGAGGAGCTTTCCCCAGCACTAAGAAATGTGTGGAGGTCTAAAGTAATTAAAACTTATACTAAACTTATAATGATTAATTCTAATATAAAATCAGTACTACTGTATGGAGTGGAAACATGGAGAACAACAAAAACAATTACTAATAAATTACAAACTTTCATTAACTGGTGCTGGCAAAGAAAACAGAGAGTTAAATGGTATGACTGAATCACCAATGTTGAGCTCTGGGAAAGAACGAAACAAGATCTAGTGGACCAAGAGGTGAACAAAAGATACTGATGTTGGTTAGGACACAAATGAGACAACCTGAGAACAGTATAACTAGAATTTCTTTGAGCTTGAACCCACAGGGGTATAGAAATAAAGACTAAAAAAATACACACGAAAAAGGGAGCTAGAGAGTGAAGTTAAAAATGTAGGGAGGGCATGGAGTGAGCTGCATACAATACTGAATGATAGAATGACCTGTCGTGAGTTGGTTGTGGGCCTATGCTCCACTGGGGGATAGAAGACAGAAGAAGAATCATCAGTTCTAAATATCACAGCTGAAACCAATGCAAGGTGGTCTGCTGCCAAAATGCCTGATCTACAAAGTGCGTTAACAACACCTAAGTCACAAACACTGACATCAAGAAGTAACTAACCATAAAATAAAATATGACCAAAAAGGAAAAGGCATGCAAAACTACAACCAAATGATAAAATATGTAGGTTGTTAAATTAGTCTGTTGTTTTGTCCACTGATGAAGACTGGCAAAATGTTTGGTTGTCTTTTCCTTTTATTTCCATTCCTTTACATATAAAATGAAGCCATGTGAGTCATTTAGGGGTGTACACGAGACACGCCAATTTTGTGCAAGAGGCACATACTTGCATTACCAACCTTATACAAGAGATACAAGATTTTACAGGCAAAAATGTACCTTAAAATCACAATGGACAGGGAACACCTTCTGCATGAGTCCTTGGGAGATAGCAAAAGACAATAGCTGAAAATACTCTTGGATGGCACAGGCAGAAGTCACGATTAGAATTGTTTGGGCTACTGAAAGGGTTACATAACAGTAGCTTCCCGATGGCTTGAGACCAGCACAGTCCTACATGTCGTAACAGACTCATACAGCATGCTTCGGAAAACTGAAACTGGTGTCCTGTGATCAGAGTGGCTTGCAGCAGTTGATAAGACCCAGATCATGAGTATATCATGGATTTTCTATCCAGGACATTCAGGTGTGAGAGATAACGAGTAGGCTGATAGATTAGCTGCTGCCGCTCCTCTTGGCATTGAGCTACTATATGATAAAGCAGATGTGGCGAAGGCTCTATGGGATCAAACTGACAGTGCAAAAGAACAGATAGGAAATCCATAAACTGAGAGACTAATTCAAAGGGAGGGGGGGGGGGGGTGAGTAGAGGTTCTGGAAGATATTCAACATTGAAGGGGAAACAGAGGTGGACTTTTAATCAGGTTGAAGCTGGTACTTCTTCTGCGTTCGACATCAGTCATGCTAAACATTGAGTCCCGTCTGGGTAACAAATAGGAATGTGCCTTTAAAGTCACCACCGGTCTCCCATAGCTTCTCTTGAAATGTGGCTTCCTTGGGCCAGATCCAGTCTTTGCTGGGAGAGGTCAGGCAGTACTGCAGTATGTGCTCAGGGGTCATCCTTTCCGCTCCACAATCACAGGCAGCAGATTCTTTTATGCCTATCCTGTACAGGTGTGCTCAAAGACCACAGTGTCCTGTCCGAAGTCTAAAAATTGATGTTTGTTCTTTCCTGTTGAGTTTGTTTATGCTGTCACTCTCTGGTCTGTAATCTCCGTTCTGCCTTCTCCATTCATGCTTGAAAGACTACTTTAGCGCTGTTTTGGTTTCCTTGTAGCTGTGTGGTGGATGAGGTTGTAGAAGATTACTACCAGCTATTGCCAACTTATCTGCTTTCTCATTTCCTTAAATATACCACAGTGGGCTGGTATCCCCTGCAAGACCAGTTCTGCTTCCTTGGAGAGTAAGCCAATGTTGTTCCTTAGATCTGCAGTTAGTTTGTCTTGTTTTTTGCTTGATAGTGCTTGGAGAACAATGAGTCCTTAAGTATAACAATTTTGTGCCCTCTGTGTTCTTGAGTGATGAGATTTTGGACTGCAAAAAGGAGGGCAGTTGCCTCAGCTCTGGAGTTAGTACAGATGTCACCTGCTGGTAGAGAGAGTTTCTGTTCTACTGCTAGGGGGTTTAATGTATATTCCCCCTTTCTGACTGCATCTGTAGCAGTGCTGTCGGTGAAAACCTGAGTCCAAGTGGTGTTTTGATACTTCTCATCAAGCATAGCAAGAGCCAGGGTTCTTTTTTGTGTCTCTGTCTGGGCGTCTTTTGAAGTGATCCCTGGTACCTTTAGGACTACATTTGCCTTCTCTGGCTTGCTTGTCCATGGTTCTGGCCTAAGTTTTTCGCACAGTGCAACATCTCTTTCAAGCAGATCTTGGTGCTGTCTGCAGTTCTCTAGCAAGGTGGTTCGGGCTCTGATGCTTCAGTCTGTTTTTTGTTCTCTCTTGAAATTTAAAATGCAGTGGGTGACTTTGAAGTATTTTTAATTTCTCATACTGTAAAAGAGTTTTGTATTGTTTTCTGAGTTCGAGTGGTTCAGTATCTGCTATCCTCTCTATCTCTCTGATGGGGGTGGTTTTCATGGCTCTGAGAACAATCCTTAATCCAATATTCTGAACCTTGTCCAGTTTTCCCATTGTTGTCTTGGCTGCTGCAGCCCATGCAGTGGCGGCATATTCCATGACTGGCCTGACTGCTCCAGTATATACTTGAGCTGGTACTATTAACATGTAAACTTTTCGATGGTTACTGAAGAAGAGGATGGAGCACATGTGGCAATTTCCCGAGAGCAGTGGCTTCAATTCTCGATTCCTTCATTCCTATTTAATTAACTTTGCAGCCATGTTGTTTTCTGACTTTTTGCTATCACCCTGTTTCCTGCCTGTCTTTTTGTGGTAATAAATACATGTGTGTGAGCACCTCAAACGGCAGTATTTCTACTTTTTAGCGTTCTCAAGCTGTAAACTCCAGCGGAATGTTCTGGTTGTCATCTACTCCTGGACTTTCCTTTTTATCCATAACTTGAGTTTTTGAGTTTTGCATGCATAACCAATCTTTAGATCTGGCTTGTCTGTATGCAGATTGTTGATTCCTCGCTTCTAAGGCAGATGCATTCCAGCTCTGAAGGAAACATGCCTAATTAGTCGCCTCATACAACATGCATAAAGGGGAGCAGTGTGTCTCTTCTTTGTTTTAGGGCGCTCAGTATGCGGAACTGTTTGTTTCGTGGCGGTGTGACTTCAAACTGACTTGGTGCTAACACAGATGAACAGTGCAAAAGCTAGCGAATAGCCAATTAAACAGGAACCAGGCCCCTCAGAACCAAAACTTAGGCAACAAATGAACAAACTCAGGTGAAAGTGATCACCACAAGGAATATAAATAAAATAAGATAGCAAAGGAACCGTCCTTGAAAAAGCAGGCCATCAGGCGGCTAAAAAAGGACTAAGCTTGAAATTTTTGTTTGATTTTATACGATACGATACGATCTTCTTTGTTCTCCAAAATGGAACCCCAGAACCCACAAGAGGAAAACTGCAGTAGATATAATTACAAACAACACTGTACCTAATGCAGCTCAGAAAGGTCTAAACTAGGGTTAGATGAACCACCCATAGATCTCACACTTTATAAATAAATACTGCTGTGTTCTTAGTAATCTTGTTTCTATAGTGAGGTGTACATGCTATTTGGAGGTGACAGGTTCGATTCCTGGCATAGTAACTATAGCCTTCGATTTTTATATTGTCTAGGGTGTCCCTCTATCTTTCTACTTCTTTCTATGAGTGCCCTTCCATACGTCTCTGTCTCTCTCTCTCTCTCTAACTCTATATAAGCTTGCAAGAACTGCACCAGACAATTTAATTCATGCAGGAAACACAAACAATGCAGTTACAGGCTAATTCCAGGTGAATGAAATTGAAGATGGAAGGCTGTCTCTGTCTTTCCACAAAAATGTGCTGGTACCAATGGGGCTGGATTGAGCACAAAGCCAAAGACAATCATTTAATCTTAAAGGAAATAATTTAATCTTGCCACTATTAGAGTGAATACTGGATCACTGTTGGTATTCACTCCTCTTCTTTATTCGCCCTCAGAAGGGCGGTTGACATTCTGGGATGTTTTATGGGTTTACAGCTAGGCTGCGATATTTGCACTCTTTGACCTAAAACTTCTGATTCAGCAAACTGTCACTTTTTCTTACACAAATGCTTATATACTCACAAAACTACTGGAACTGTTGTCAGGAATTTTTTGGTAGCGGTAAACTGTTTTCCATAGTCAATTTGCTCCCACTGAGTCTCCAGACGGGAGATGCCTTGATCTGAAGTTTCCCATGGCGTACCCTTTGTTACATGAAGCATAACAAACATACACTGAAAAAAAAAATAGACGAAAACTAGTTAGAAGAATCATCACTACATGTAATTAATCAGCAGCAAAACAAAATAACAATTAATGAAAAAAGAGGATCAACTGGATAGATTTTATCAGGAGTATGCACACACACACAAAAAAACACTACAAACTCAAAACAGTCCTGGCAACACTTCTGATTTAAGTTTAACCACAACACTTTGCCTATACTTAATGGCAAATATGGATTCAAGATGATCATTTATATTAGGACCAATATTAAAAAGAATCAAATCAGCATGAAGACGCATCTCATACAAAGCATATTCATTCCAAACCTATGCTACCAGTGCCAGACATGGTGACTTACAACAAACCAAAAATAAAATTAGTAACCATTCAAATGAGATGTCTGAGAAGTGCTGCAAACAGATGGATTTTTATCACGTTGCTCCTGGCACCATCAAAACAAGAAAATTTTGTTCGCTACTGATGAAGGGAACAGAGCATATGTGGGAATGCCCTCTCCCCCTGTGCACTTAATTCATTTAATCATGCACACATACATTGACCGGTGAAGACTCCGAAAGCCTGAATTTTAACTCTTAAGTCTGATGCACGGATGATGCTGTAGGTCCTGCCGGCCCTCAAAAAAGAAAAGTCTTTACTGCCTGATAGATAAATCAGTTTGTCCCCTCCAGGCCGCCACCCATCCTCAGATTTAAAAATCTCAATCTAGATGGGAAAAATTCCAGCAATCTGCAAGCTATGAACACGCAGGCTAGGGCAGTGGCCCAATGGTGTAAACATGCATGTATAAGCAAGCATATACATGTGCATTCCCACATGGATGTGCACTCGTGTATGTTATGTATATAATAATTAATATATAATTGTACATCTATGATTATATGTGTGTGGGTGTATATAGTGCATATCAGCCACATCCCCAACAACCCTCACTAGGTATTAGAGTACCGCTCTAAGCCTCTAGTTTTAGTGCAATTAACATTTCTTAGCCAATATAATTGGCATAAAGAAACGGGACCACAATTATAACCGATGCTGCTCACAGAAGGCTGAACACAGTCAATTTTTGTGTGTTTTGTTTTTCATAAATGGATGGATGAAGAATGACCCAACGAATTAGAGAATACAGCGTGCACAATGTATAGAACAGTGCTCCTCAATCTTTTTACACTCATGGCCTACAGGCTGAAAAGCATTGGTGCATAACATCCAATTCTATCAAACACAACTTGCTCAAATGCCAGAAATTTTGCATACAAAGAGCGGAATTGCTAAGCTATTTCCAGAAACAGGCACAAACCACATCCTACACATAGTGCCTGCACATGAACAAATGAGCAAGAAATATAGAGATTATTAAAACAGTATGTTAGCAGAACTAGCAAGGAAATGACACCAGACACAGAGGCAGCACATCAGACACCACATACACGATGAACAAATGGTAGGTCTTGGTAACGTTAACTAGTTGTGGTAATCAACAGCAATGGACCCTGGATTTTTTTATTCTTTATCCTAAACTTCTGTAGCTAACTTTTTTTTTTTAAATCCTGTTGTGTATAGGGCTCACTGTCTAATCCATGCTTTTATGTTTTTACTTGATGGATATATTATGTATAATGACTGATATATTACCATAACATAAAATACCATTGCTGTGTGAAAGATGAGTGTTTGAAAGGGTGAATGTCAGACAAGCATGCATGCCCAATTTGTGACCCTTTAAAAATAAAGTTTGTTTGCTCACTTATTCATTCTCCATTCTGCTCTATACTATTCAACCATTTCAATATCATGAAAGCAGTCCAGTACCTTTGACCTCTCTTAGCATTAAAAAGCCTATGATCCCATACACACACAATATTGGATCTAGTGTGCACCAAGCAACTCATCCCATGCAATGACTGCAACCAAATATTTTTCGCTATTCACGACTCTTTCTATAGCGAACAACTCATTATGCAGTCAACAGTTATTCCATAGATCTGTGAAGAGATCTCCTAGAGCTTTCAATTATACTGGGTATTGAATGAGTTTTACCTATGTGGTGTAGCATATGGCCATGAAATAACATTTAAAAAAATTGTTTTTAAATTGTGTTTATAAAGGTTGGCTACAGCATAGCACTGCTGTCTTTGGGAATATTACATGGTGAAGACCCAATTTCTTCCACAGTGCGATTCTCATACCACAGTCAGAAACCACAAAAAGATTTTTTTTTTAAAAAGCATCTGCTGCAGAAATTAAATCCTAGTACTTGAGGATCATAAAAGTGTTAAATGGAATAACTAGCCTCTAAGCCACTAGCGGGAATTGCCGTGGCGTAGCGGCTAGACCCTCGCGTGTGGATTGGAAGATTGTGGGTTTGCTTCCTGGCGGAGCCAGACTTTTTTTTTCTTTCTTTCAAAAATGACCTTGACTTCCAGGTCGACCCAGCCTTGAGTGAGTACATGTTGCAGTCCAGGGAAGTAAAAGCGCCCGGCGTATTGCTGACCAGATCATCTATCTTGTGCCAATTGGTCTATAAAAATAAAGGTCTAGCCCAATATGCCCTAAAGGCGTGAATACGGGACCTTTACTTTTACTTTACTAAGCCACTAGCAACAGTAAAATGTGCTTGTTACTGATTTCAGATGTTAATCCATAGTGATCGACAGAAACTAACTGAAATGGTTGATAAACACTCTACTATCATACATATATTAACAAGTGGGGGGTCACAGTTAGCATTACAGAGAATTCACTGGTTTACCAGCATGGTGGGACAGGGTTCAATCCTCAGCTAAGACAGAATATTTGATTATACTGGAAAGAACAGGTACCACAACAGTTATCTCAATGCTGAGTTTTTGAAGGCTCAAATGGCTAGAACACACTGGCGGGGAATGGAGGGTGGTAGGATATCCACAGTGGTGAATTGCTGATGGGTAGAAGATGATGTCAAGCTCTACTATGATTTAAACATGTAAGCCAGCAGGCCATGACTGATACACATATTGAGGTGGATTCACAGGAATAGGATGCCAAAAATCATGCGGGAAATCAGGAAAGGAGTAACAGCAAAGAAGTAACAGCAAAGGACAAATGAATTATAATATATCTTTTTATGTCTTGAAAATCACATTTAAAATATTGATAAGTACATTTTATAAGGACATGTAAAAATGGATGTTTTTCTTAGTGTTTTGTGTGCGTGTTTGTGTGTGTGTGTGGGGAGGGGAGGGGCTAATGAGGCAATACCTGTTTTTTTTTTAGAGTCCCTGGGGCAAATGGGTTAAACCAAATGGTACTTTATGAAATTAAAGATTGTTAAATATATACATTGTTTGCATGTGTAGGTAAATTCTTCTTATAGCCTGTTATGATCCAGTCTTCAGCTAATAACACAAAAATAATCTCTGCACAGCGCATGAACTTTAATGAGAGGAAGTCAATAAGTAAGTCACAAATTTTTGCTTAAAATAAAACCACAGACGACAACATCTTGAAAACCGTTTATTTTTACACATAACACTGTCCCTTCATTTTTGAACATAATTTCCAACAACACTGATAAAACTGTCCCATTGTTTTATCAGTCCTCCCAAACCTGCTGCATAGAACTGCGTGCTCTGTTTTCTAAACCACATTTTCACTTTGCATTCAACGTCTGCTTCATTCGCCAAATGGCTGCTGCCAAGGTTGGTTTTCAGTGGACCAAAAAAGGTGGTAATTAAAAGGAGCTAAGTCGGGGCTGTAAGGAAGATGTTCCAGAAGTTCTCACTCCTAGATGGCTAACTTTCTCCTGAGTTAACCGAGTCGTATATCTGGTTTGTCATAAAGGAACAGTACTGCTCTAGTCAGCAGGCCTAGACATTTTCTTTGAACTCCATCATGAAGCATCGATAGAACTTTATAGTACGAATCAGCATTCACAGTGTCACCTCTTCTTTTAATACTGCAATTGCAATCTTAATAGGATGACCAGAGAAGACTTCACGAACAATTTTAGAGCATCAGTGAGATTTTTTACAATTCAGCTATGCACCTTTTCACGGGATAAACATTTGTTAGCATAAACAGGAAGCATTTCCTTAAGAACATCCTTTGCAGGCACCTCGCAATGCACAACAGCACGTTGTTCTTTGTGGGTACACTCTGTAAGTACAGTCGCCATTCTGTTCCTGCAAATGCGCATGCAGCACCTAGCACCACCTTATGAGCGGAGACATAGTTTGATGTTGCTGTAACCTAATGACACCTTTAGAAACCACCAACTACATTTTCCTGCCATCCCATAACCATTTGTGACTTACTTATTGACTTACCCTTGTACCATCGACAAGCCAAAGAGAAAATTATTTTTAAACTACACATTATGATCCTAAACAAGCTGACTGGTATGAATGACACTGATAAAATTACTATGGTGATAACTACAGCTGAGTAAAACTGTATATAGATATATATAGGAAACAATACATATACACACACATACATATAATTTAGGAAACTCACCACATCATGTAAGACATTAGTTAATGTCCATGCCACAGCTACTGAGAAGAAAGGAATTGAAAGTAACAAGAGATGTACACAGAATACTAGCAGTATATAGGTCAGCCATATGCCTTTACTGTTGAAGTATGAATGGGTTGGATTACTATCACTATGAGCCACGCCAACATTCATTTTCACTGGTTCAAAGTCAGTACAGGAATCAGTTCACCTGAAGAAACAGAAAATAAACACTTTCTTAACTAGCTGATTACAAAGTTTTGTGAGTGTTTTGGTGTTAATACAATAAAGGCCTGGCATATTCTGACAGTATGAATCAGTTATGACAAAAAGCAGAATGAAACACCTCTCCCTCATTAACCTGTTTCTTTGCGACTGCCGGTTATATTTGAGACTTTTTTTGTTTGTGTTGATTTTTCTGCTCCTTCTTAATAGCTATAAGCTGCGGCAAAAGGTCTTGGTTGTTAATCCATTTAGACACTGGCTTTATTGTCAGAGCTAGGGTTTTGCGTAAATAGCCCTATTACATTTGTTGTTGTTTTTTTTCACCTCTCAGGCAGATGATTCTAACTTCAAAAGAAATTTGTGTTGACTGAATCTGACTCTTCTTTGTGGCACATGGTTATGCCTGATTTTACTTTTCATTGATGTCATACCACCCATGTCTAGCAGGGTTCAGGCCAGTGAGAATGTAGCTGTTATGCACATGGGACTAGCGGCTCTGGGAAGAGCTTGAAGGCTTTCCCTCTGTGCTCGCTGTCTGCTGTGCTCTAAGTGCATCTTCAATGTGGTATTTTGTTTTCTTTTGAGTATTGCCACTATGCTTATGTCCCTGTATATCTTCCTCTTAATATTTTTGTTTGGTTGGGGGGGGGGTGGGGGGGGGGGGGGGAGGGAGGGGAGGGGTGTAAGGTGTTGATGTGTGATGCCTTAGACTGAAAAACGGGTGGGGGGGGGGGGGGGGGGGACTGATACAAAAGAAGAGAAAATATCATTTTTACAATGCATTCCTTTATTTAGAGAATACAACACAGATATTCATGCTTGTTTCATTGATTACACCAAGGCATTTAATTGTGTCTAACATCAGAAATTGTGGAGTATTATGAGAAGTATGGGGTTTCCAGCTCATCTGGTCTATTTAATTGAAAATGTATATCATGAACCAGCAGCCATCAGAGCAGCTGATGAAACATCGGATTGGTTTAAGGTGCAAAAGCCTCTAAGGCAGGGATGCATTCTCTCACCATACCTATTTATTTTATATACAGAACACATAATGAGAAATGTAAAAAATGACCAGACTGTTAGAGTTATGAACCGCTCATAATTGGTGGCAACCCTATTCCGGAACCTAGTTATGCAGATGACAAGGTCCTCTTTTCGAAAAATGTAACGCCAGCTAAACAGACTCACAGAAAACAATTGAATCGTTCTCCAGTGGATCTCGGCTCACTATGGCATACCAGGAAATGAGTAAGCAGACAGACTTTCAAAAAATGTAACAAAGGTGAAACAACACACCCATTCTTGTCGTTACCAGAAATCAGAATAATGAGACGAAAATTCAAGGAATTGTGGAGAGAACAAACTAACAGTAAACATTCACAAGACTCCCATCAGCAGACTCAACAGAAAGCAACACACAACAATTTTCCGTCTACGAACAAGACACTGCAGGCTTAACTACCACATGCATAAAATGAAGATAGTAAGTCCCCACAGTGTGCCTGTCAAACAGGACCACAAACACCTGAGCACATTCTGCAGACTAGCCCACTCTACCTACAACTTCAAAAAGACACCTGGCCTCAAGATCAAAGTGTGCAGAGCAAGGTTTGGGGAACCATGAAGGACCTGCTACTGACATGCGAGTTCAAAGAGGCAACCCACCTGATGGTCTGATCTGAGAATATGAAAGTGAACGCAAAGGAAAAGAAAAAGAACAATGTAAAGGCAATAGATAATTTAATCAAGTCTGTTCAAAAACCAAGTAAAGGTCGAAACCTATTTTTGAATTTAAAGAAAACGAAAATAATGTCCACAGACAAAACTGGCTAACATTAAAAAATGATGAAGAAATTGAAAATGTCACAAACTTTAAATATCTAGGATCTATAAAAGATAGCAATGGAGACTGCTTCTCAGAAATCAAAGGGAGGATGGTCATAGCAATACAAACATTAAACAGCATTACAAATCTATGGATAAGCACTAGCAAAGAAATCAAAATTAAAATTGTGAGAGCATGCATCTTCCTTGTAGCAAGATACGGATGTGAGTCGTGGACTATCTCCCAGTCCTTAAGACAGAAAATAGGAGCTTTTGAGCTGAAATGCTATAGAAAGATTCTCAGAATACCATGGACAAAGAAGAGAAGAAATACAGACATTTTAAAAGATCTGAATATCAAGGCAGATTGGATAATAAACAGCATCTTGTCTTGGAAGCTAAATAAAATGTCCCAAACAACAGTTTCATATGCTTAGATCAGACCATGATTTGGCACCCAAAAAAGGGACATTTACAACAATGTCAAAATTATAGGATTATAAGTCTCATCAATCATCACAGTAAAGTCATGCTCAAGATACTCCTAAACAGATTAAAGCCACATGCAGAAAAGATCATAGCAGAAGAACAGGTGGGTTTCCGTGCTGGAAAAAGCACTGTTGAACAGAAATTTAATCTACACATATTATCTGAGCAATACCACCAGCACCAAAAACATCCATACCATGTGTTCATTTATTTCAAAAAGGTTTTTGATAGAGTATGGCATGCAGCACTCTGGGTCAATATGAAAAAGTACAATATGGGTAAAACCCTTTTTTGTGCTATAGAACATCTCTATGCCAAGGCCAGCAGGGCTGTCACACTGAGCGGACAAATAGGAAGCTGGTTCTGAACAATAGCAGAAGTCCGGTAGGGAAGCCTCCTCTCTCCAACACTGTTTAACATCTTTTCAGTAAGAATTATGACTGATTCCCAGAACAACATCATGGAACAGTTAGTATAGGAGGTCAAACTATAACAAACTTGAGGTTTGCAGATGCCATTGATGGGTTGGCCGGAGAAGAACAAGAACTAGTCGAGCTTGTATGGCATGGAAATAAACGCAGAAAAAAACAAAAGCAATGACTAATAATCCAGCTGGCAGAATTTCATCAGTCTACATTAAAGGTCACAAATGAGACACGTGACTCGTTTCAAATATTTACGATCCATTTTAAGTGACTTGGTGTCACGACCAGAAATCATGTCTAGGATTCCCCAGACGACATAAGTCCTTGCCAAGCAGCAAACATTATGGAGAGCAAAAAAGATTTCATACAAAACTAAGATTCAATTGCTCAGAGCACTAGCTATTAGTACATTTACATATGGCTGTGAAACGTGGACCTTAACAGCTGAACTTGAAAGGAAGATACAAGCATTAGAAATGCCATGTTTCAGAAAATTTCTTGGCATATCATACAGAGACCATATTACAAACGAATAGGTTTACCATCACATTATACAGCACACTGGCAACTATGGACCTCTTTTAACTACACTGAAAAGGCAAAAAATTTATTGTTATGGACATATAATAAGATCTAACGGCCTCTCAAAAACAATACTGCAGGGCTCAGTAGAGGGAAAGAGGAGAAGAGGCAGACCAAGAAAGACCTGGTTACAGAAACTCACTGACTGGACAGGCCTCAGGCATGCAACTATGAAGTCCATCACAACTGACCGCCAAACGTGGAGAGAGCTGATCAGACAGTCCACAGAAACTGGTAAGTAGAAGACGCATAGTTTTACGGGATGATGATGATTGGGTAGAGGTTACGCCAGATATTCATACATTTAAATACTAATTTAACAGGGAAGGGGTGGGTAGAGATTATACAAGATATTCATACACTGAAAGACTAATTTAACGAGAAAGGAGTTGGTTAGAGGTTATACAAGATTTTCATACACTGAAAGACTAATTTAGCAGAAAAGGGTTGGGTAGAGGTTATGCTAGATATTTATACAATGACTTATTTAACAGGGGAGGGTTGGGTAGAGGTTATGCTAGATATTCATTGAATGAGACTAATTTAACATGGAAGGGTTGGGTAGAGGTTTTATGCTTGATATTCATACAATGAAAGACTAATTTAACACAGAAGGGTTGGGTAGAGGTTTTACAAGATATTCATACACTGAAAGACTAATTTAATGGGGGAGGGTTGGGTAGAGGTTATGCTAGATATTCAACACAGAACAAGGGAAACAGGCCAACTTTTAATCAGGTTGCTCTGGTACTATTAGCATGTTGACTCTTCATTGCTACTGAGGAAGGAGGTAAAGCAAGTGCCACAATTATTCGTCTTGCTTAAAAATAAAAGTGTACATCAGAAACAAATCAAAAGAGGTGAAGTCAAACGAGTGCTATGAAGGAGGCCAAAGAAGAACAGTAAACCAACACAGAAATGGTGTTATTAGTTATTACATGCTGAAGGATACACTGCATTGAGGAGGGGATTCAAGTACTTGTGGACTAACTGGTTCAGTGTGTGGTGAGAACGATACCAACAAACTGCTATACAGCAGGTCTTTTTTCTGGCGGTATGCAGTATAGTATGTTGTACCGGCACCTTTTTTCCAAATAAAAACATTGTTTTTAGTGCTACCATAATATAAACTTTATAATAGTTCTTTCTGCAATAAATATGTACCACCAATTATTTATTGCTTTACAGTTGAGAAAGATAAATAAAAAAAAACGATATCAATTTTAGTGAGGTATAATTTCAACTACTCCATGGTAGCATTGCAGTGTTTAATGGCAAAGTCCCAAAGGTGATCTAAATCGGCAAGAGTTTCATTTCTGTGTATTATTTAGCCGTTTCTCATATTACAGTGATAGCGATCTGGCAATTCACCAAGACGCCTGTAGTAGTCAAGTATCCAAACAGAACTAACAAATATATCGTGTCTCTGTTAACTGTCGATTCGTAGACAGCTGAAGTCAGTCACACCCCGCCAGCCATCACATCAAGAGTTTAGTTTAGTGGGAAGGAAAACATCATTAATTAACAACTATGATAAAATCCATCAATCGGATCAGACATTCCGTATAGTAACATCACATGTTAACACTCTGAATAACAACAAGGAAGGCTAGTTCTAACCCAGCG